AAAATCTCATTTTGACAATCACCCACTCCCCGTATTCACCTGATATGGTACCGTGCGACTTCTACCTTTTCGGAAAAATGCATTTGCCAATGAAAGGAAAGCGTTATGCAGACGTGGAGGGCATTCAAACGGCTTGCACCGTCATACTGGCGGCCATGCCGGGCAACGAGCTAAAACACTCGTTCGACATGCTTTGGACCGTGCAAAAAGCTATATTAAAGCAGAAAGAGACTATTTTGAATAAAATTAATTGATTTTGCTGATAAAACCATTTGTTCTGTCTTTTTTTTAAAAGTCCTCTTTACTTTGGAAAGCACCTTGTATAACCTTTTATCGAACTCCCTTATATTTAGGTGATACAAACAACCGTTAAGTGAACAAAAGTATTATACTCAGTAGCAACATCTTGTAAGAGTGTAAAAAATTCAAAAATTAAATTATTTCAAATAATTTTATCTCACCTTGTTTTTGTTATAATACATTTGCCATTGAAAGCAGCAAAACCAGAGAGCAAACACCTCTTGACGTTACTCACATACTTACACTGTAGATACCGCCGTACCGCTGTAGATACCGCAAGTACGCAAGCAAAAATCAAAACAAAAGTACAAACACACACACAAACACACATGAATATTTACTATTTTAATTGTTGGGCACTTCATTCATAACGACGCCATAGAACGGTGTAATGAGAATTGTACATACATGCATGCATACGTAGATCTGTCTATATGTAAGTAGGTGACTTTATGTGTATGCGTGTGTGTGTGTGTGCGACATGCGGGTGATTTGCTGGTGCTGACGTTGGTTAATAATCCGGCTCATAAATTGAAAAGGCCTCTGCCTAAACGTAGCGCGCCGTAATGGCAGCCTGATAAAGTCACGAGCGCCATAAAGTACACGTATGCACATAAGCATACATATTCATATACATATATACACATATTATACATGCGTGTATGTGTGTATGTATGTTTGTATGCATGTGTAGTAGTGTAAAAAATAGAAAAACAAATCAAATCACATGTAAATATTGACGCATAGCTATGTACATATGTACGTTACGTTACGTTGCGTTTTTTACAAACTTAACGACGTAGTAGGCGCATTTATAATATATATGCATGTATGTATGTGTGTGTGTGTATCTTCGCATTTACCAGTTAATTTCGGTATATTGGAGGCGTCGCACTATCCTCGACTGATTACACACGCACGCACAAACACATATGTATACATACATACATATGTTTATATAAATTTGCCTCACGTTACATGCTTTTACAACTACGTAGTAGCAACATTGTAATTCAAACGTAAATGGCGTCCTCATTCATTACTGATTACTGATTACTATTGATTATTGATTGTATTGTATGTGAGCTTGTCTCGTCTCGTCTGTCTGTCCGCTGGCTGATTGTGGGCATTGAAAGTGCCAAGTATAGTGCAAATAGCAATTAGAGAAGCAGAGCTAGCATGCAACATTCACACACCCACACACCAACATGGAAATTAGCAAAAACTCGGCGTTTTCGACGAAAATGCGCACTTAACTCTTAAGTGAGCCTCGTAAGTAAAGTCTAGGCTCGAGCACTGCAATTTTTAGCTTAGCTAATCATTCTTTATTTTTTTTTTCTTTCTAAAAATAAGTAGATTTGACTGTACGATGTTCGAGTGTATAATTTGTGTGTGTATTCCAATTGTCAGCCTCTTTTTTGTACAGTTATATTTAGACTAGAACCATATTATCACGAGCGTTTATTTGACAGCTACACATAATCGCGGCGTGTTTATTTGGCTATTAACGCAGGTGATTTTGAGTATCTCTAGATAATAATATAGCTCACCTATATTTGTAATTACTAACATAATAATTGCGACGACATATACAACCATGTATGTATGTGCAACCATTGAGATATACCGCACTCTGTAGCATATTTGAGTTATAAAGTCAAACAGAATAACGTAAACCATTGTATCGGATAAGTGGCGGGTGGCATCAATCATGAATTGAGTTTACCTATTTTCAGCACAAAACTTTAGTGGAGCAGAACAACGAAAAAGACCCGAATGTGTACATTAGCCAACGCGCGCAACAATTGGAGCTGTGCCCATCCACTTTATGGAAGATTTTTCGAAAGGATCTTGGTTTGCGAACTTACCAAATCCAACTCGTACAAGCATTCAAGCCGAACAACCATCGAGCGCGTCGTGTATTCGATGAATGGATCCAAAACGGGATGACCAACGATCTGTATTTTCACCAGAAAATTTTGTTCAGCCATGAAGCTCACTGTTGGTTGGATGGGTACATAAATAAACAAAATTGTCGCATTTGGAGTGATGATAATCCATTAGCCATTGTTTAATCGTCGTTTAATCCACAAAAATTCACTTTTTGTTGTTTGGTCCATATTTCTTCAAAAGTGAAGCTGGCCATAATATTACAGTCAATGGGGAACGCATAATAATGGCTCTATTATTATTGAGTTTTTCGTACTTGTATTGGAGGATGCTGGTCGAAAATTGGGCCTCTCGGCTGGAATTATTTCGAGCTAGCCGGCAGCGGTCACTTGCATGAAATTATTTTGCAAACGTAATGGCTAAAACTTATCTTTATAATAGAGCTTAATTCTGGAACATAAAATTAAACTATAATATATGCAAAGTGTTTTTTTTTTGAAAACCACATGTCTAAAAGAACCCCCTTTATTACCAGAAAAATATGCTTACTGATTATCAATAAGATAGCTCACATATTGTGCCATATATGAGCTATTAAGTCAACCTAAAATATTGACCCAATTGTTTCCATTTTAAAAAAGAAATTCTCTGCGTTTATTTAAAATACCTTACAGATTGATCAATGTATTTATACGAACCGAAGGTTTGAAAATCTTTATATTATATTATATCTAATGAAAATATTAAACCGATTTTTACCATTTTTGGTTTAAGCGCACATTATTATCAGGAAAAAATTCTTTCTACATTCATGTTAAGCGTTTCCCAGATTGCTCCATATATTTGTACGGCATAAAATCAACTGTAAATGGGAAACTGGAAAGAATTTTTTGATGCTAAACCACATTATAATCCATATACTTGGTCCACTTAATTTAAGTAAGATATCTAGTATATCACTCGGGTAAACAATTTAATGATATACAAATTAATTTATGTGGTAAGTAGACGTAGTTCCGATCATATTTTGCTCAGTTAAAATTTTTTTTAAAATGTCATAAGAATACATAAAATTTTTTTTAGGTTAGACCAGATAACGCTGCCACGTCTCTAACCAAAATTTTGGCACACAGTTTTTGGTTTGCCGTTATATGCGTTATCCAGCATTGTTTCAGCTGGATTTTGTTTGATTTTACCAAAACCAGCTATATACCAGTAGCCTCTACGATACATATATGTCTTCTTAAAACAGTTGAACGAAATTTAGATGTGCATTAGATGAGTAGTTTCAAAAAGTCATATAAAATGGTGGCGAATCTCTTCGGATGACTTTTTTAATTATTAATCCATATTTGTTACAAATCGTCAAATCTGAAGTATTTCTGGTCAAAACCATTGACAACTGTAGATTTGTTCTTTTACTGTACTTTCAGATTGGCATATCTCTATGAAGGAGGGACGGGGTTTTCAGCACTTTTAGTGTTAGTACTAGAAGACCACATCATCTCCACTACTTTCTGTGTAAAACATTATAGTTTCTGGGCTAACAGGGGCATAATACAAGATACAAAATTTGCTTTCCGTTCGGCGAGGAAACATTTTCTAGTCACCTGCTTATTTTAACGTCATTATACTTGTATGTGGCCAAAATATCGACTCAAAGCAAACGGCCTAATTACTATAATATACTAATCTTTATAGTATGTATTTATTCTAGCAGGTCTTAACTACTATAGTCACATAAATACTTCCTGCATTATGCCATAAACACGAGTAAATATTACTGAAACGCTATTTAATCCTCTCGTACGCGAAAGGCCGATGTTTACTAGACGCTACAGGTCTGTTTGATATTCGTTCACTTTTATCATAACCGTGCCGCAACTATCTTGAGGCTTGTGCATGGGCAACGACCGGAAAAGGTTAATTTTGTGTGTTAGGTTTTACGTGCGATTAAAAGAATATAAATCAAGCGATTATCAATTTTGAAATGTTTGCCATTGGAATGCAAACTCTAAATAATGAATTTGTACTTTTCGATATTTTTATGCCATAGTACAATAAATGCATACATAGATAAAGAGTACAGACATTTATCGCTCAAGGTTTATTTGCGTCGACGTCCTTGATGGGAATTAAGTCGAGTAGACAATTAGAAAATGTTAGCTATTTGCACGGGAATTGAACATGAAGTTGAGGCTGAAAGGAATTAGTTTTGCACGCGAAAAATATTTGGTTTATTAAGAATTACAATGAATTTATTGCACATCGTCAAAGTAAACCATAAAAAAAGCTGCAAATTAGTTAAAAGTAATTCTAAAATTTTTGGACCACCCTGTGCCCGTGACTTTTTTATTGTAACAATTTAAATTTTATTCACTAGAATTTCCCGCTGTTGCAAAATGCTTACTCAACAGCAATAGCAATGTATTCAAATAGTTATTATTACTAATTATCCAGTAGCAAATTCGTTGTTAAATTATTTCATTACCTCCAATTATGAGTAATAATCATATTCATTACACGCCAAAAAACATGTCTGAGATAAAAATCAATAATTAGCGATTACATAGCCGTAAATATTCCGCGGTACGCTTCCAAGTTTCGCGCCAACAAATAAAATTATAAACTGAACAATTGAAAAATAACAATTATATGACGATAGAACCTTGTGATACTATGAAAAATACCGTGAAATAGTTGTAACAATTTAAATGTTTTGATCTTATTGAGTCCGCATTTGCCACAATTTACCGCCAAACAATGTATTTAAAATGGAACATGCAACAATTATAAACATCCGAAATTCGGGATAACGATCTAGGAAATCAGTACTAATATTGTATATTAGCATAGGTATACTCGTATCACAGGCGAGAGTTTTAGGTATAAATAACCTGTTAACGGTGGGCGAATGAGTATTTCTTGAAATCTGTTATTACCTGTCGACCGAATATGAAGCGCAATTTCGGAATATTTTTGGGGGTCATGTTACTAGTGGTGAGTGGGAAAATATTTTTAAAATTATTTATATCTACATGAAAACAAAAAATTAATTAAAAAAATATCCAAAAAAAAAGTGAAATAAATAATATATCAAGAATTAAAAATCAGTGGTTTCTCAAAAAAATTTTGCTAATTTAAAAAAATATATGAATTTAAGAATTTTCAACAAATCAAAAAACATTAAAAAATCTCTAATGTTCATTTAAACAAAATAAATAAATATCCAAAAAAGATAAATTAAAAACACAAACAAGATTTAAAAATATATTTAAAAAAAATTATAATAGACATTACTAAATAAAATTTTAAAATTCAAATCAAAAAAAATTATTTATAAAAATTTTAATATTTAATAAGTTCTATTAAACAAACTAAGAAAAATATTAAAAAATATATAATATTAATTTAAGCAAACTAAACTAATATCAAAATAAAATAAATTGAAATAACAAAAAAATTTAAAAAATTAAATTTAAAAAAATTCGATAAATATTACAAAATAAAATTTGAAATTTAAATTATTGAAAGAAATAAAAAATAAATTTATAAAAAATATTATTTCTAATAAATTTGTAATAAAATTTAATTAAAATTATTAAAAGAGCTTAAAAATATTTTAAAAAAATTTATTTTTGATATATATAAAAAAAAAATTTAATTCACGTAATAAAAATTTTCATTCACAAATTAAAAAGTTTAATTGAATTTAACAACTTTTCACAAATTTAACAAGATAATCGAAAGTTAGTTTCAAAAAATCGAACAAATACTAAAATAATTTGAATAAATTAAATTAATAAATTTCGAATGGCATTGCAAACTCAAAATATTAAAAAAAACTGTGAAAGTAAATTTAACAAAAAATTAAATTAAATAAATATTACATAACATATATTTCAAAGTTCAAATTATTAAAAGAACTTAAAAAAATTAATAAAAATTTTAGTATTTAATAAATTCGGTAAAAAAAATTAAGTTTACGTCATAAAACTTTGAAAATTCAATTTGTTTAAAGAACTTAAAAAAATTAAATTCGAAAAAAAACAATTTTTCAATTACGGTCGAAAACTCAAACCATTTTTACGGCCAAAACTAATAAATAGAAACAGAAACATAGAGATAATTTATAAGATCTTGAAGTATATTCAAAAAATGTAAAATTTATCTTTAAAACGTGAAAAATAAAATTAAAAAGTTTAAATAATAACGCCGAAATAATATATTTTTCAAAATGAAAAAAGAAATATAGAATGATATTATAAATACCAGTTTTAAAAAAAATTAAAAAAGTAAGAAGTTTAAAAAATTTCAAAAAATATAATATATGAAATCAATCAAATTTCTCATAAATTATTGAAACAAAAATATTAAAAAAGTTTAAAAATTAAAATCCTAAATAGAATAAATACAATTTTTAAAATCTCATTTAAAAGTTTTTCAGATAAACTTAAAAAAAACATTTCATAGATCAAAACAAAAATCTTTAAAACTTTATTTGTATAATTTTAAACAATTTTCTTCTTCTGTAACTAATTGTCAATAAGTTTATTTGAATAGTGGGAATATATTTAGTATGAAATTAAAAAGAAGTTTAAAAATTCAAAACTATAAAATATCTTTGACGCCAAATGTTATAATTAAAACTATAAAATGTTGAATTTTTTGAAATTTCCGAAAATAACATTATAAAAATAATAATTTCAAAATATATAATATTTGAAATCATATTTTAAAAGCTTCAAATAAATGTGATAATTTTGGCTTAGATCATTCGAAAATACGAGTTTAAAATTATGGCCGAAATATGTACATATATGTATGTTACTTTAGAATTTTTCAACACATAACTTTTTGAAAATCAGAAGCGATTTGAGTAGCGAATTTCATTGTGCCTGAGGGTTAACTAAAAATTCTAACCTATAAAATAATTCTAACTCTTCGACAAGTCGAAGCTTATGCTTTAAAAGCAAGTCGTTAAACTTAGGTTGAATCGAGTCATTAAGAACGACTGAGTCATGGAAATACGTATATAAATATGTTAGTACTGTATCGAAATCCATTAAAGTCAGCTGCTCTTTGTTTTTATAGAACTTCTTATTTCTCCAGATCCATACCTATGTACAGATTTATTTTAATTTCGAAATTCTAACCGTTATTCAAAAGACAAATATTGAATTTGAACTAAATTTCTTGAGGATTATAGTACTATCTCAATATAAAGAGATAGAAACTACTTCAAGTCCTTATCACTAGCAGATCACAAAAAATTGGAAATGAACAATTAAACTATTTATTTCATATTTTATTCCCCCAGTCGATCAGCTGTGTAAACGCCCAAGGTGGAGGCGGCGGTGCTGGTGGTGAGGCTGGCGCCGGGGCGAGCGCTGGCATGAGCATAGGAGCGGGTATGAAAGGCGGCGCAGGCGCTGATGGCGAAGGCGAAGGTGGCGCTGGCGGCGGCGCCGGTTTTGGTGCAGGTTTCAGTTTCGGTGCTGGGGCCGGCGGTAAGGGTGGCGCCGGTGCAGGTGGGCGCTGAACACGGAAACTTATTTACCTGGAAATGTTGATTGCTGTTTACAGATAAACGCAAATGTAAATAAATGTGTGTGCAGCAAATCCGAAAAGGGTTTTTGTTTTTCTAACGCGCCCGGCAAACGCGGCAGTCATTCATTTCGCGTGCGATTTCCAAAGCGATTTCCGCTCTGTCATACTGAACGATGACACGCGCAACTGGCCCAGTTGCATGGTCTTAATACTTTTTGTGTGTGTATGTTTATTTGAGTAGCGGCAGCGTGGCGTCAATTACCGTTTGAATAATGCAAAAGGTGAGCGCGTGAAGTGGATGAGTAAGAAAAATATTTGATGGCCTCATAAAAGTTATTACCTCATTACGAACGCAATGTGCTTGTATTCATTAAATATTTATGTGTATACGTGTATATGTATGTACAATATATATGTCACAGAAACGCGCGTGTGTAAAGTCAGAGGCTCGACAACTTGAAGGTTTATTCGCAACGCTTCTTATCAGGCGCGTGGTGTCTACTTACTGTTATCTTAGCGCCAAGCACCTGCTTTTGTTTTTCTTTTGACATTGTTGCTTTCGGTAATACGACCACTTTGCCGCCTATGAAAGCACTCTGCTGCGTAAGCAATACATTCTTTAAGCAAATTATATTAAACTACAAAGTTGGTCACATGCGTTGACGATGCGTTCTTGCTTGAGTATTTAACTTCAGCAACTGCATAGCTATAACGGATTTTTAAGCAGTAAGCATTGAGATCGGACAACCTCACCTTGGCATTCTCATTGTGAGAAGCTCTGGAAAAGCGATTATATCTATATAGAAAAGTTCTTAAGCTCCAATGATCCGAAACTTCCCCCACAAAGACTATTTCTTATGAAGATATTATTGCGACCAAACATTGGTAGAGTAGATGATATCATCCGTTTGTCCTCGGTTTCTTTAGAGATTCATTGGAGTATGCGGTGCCTCGAGTCTCGTATCCTTTTTAGAATGTATGTAATTTTAGGCAAATCTGTACTTTGGAGTGATGTGATTTGGAGTGACTTCTCTTTCTATCTTCTGTTCTCCTTTCTATTTTAATGATAGTCAACTCAGTTCTATAGGATTTCAGAGCCTATGTTGTTGATATAATTAGCACGTCTTAACCTCAAAAAGAATTTATTACTTTAAAGGGCCAATAAATCTACTAATTAACATGATCAGAATTAAGCAAGAGCCGAGGATAAAAATCTGTAATTTTTAACTTAACTTCATTCGTAAGCGACATGGGTATCTAAATGAATATATGTCTGAACACTCCGGAATCCTCGCACGCTTTGTTTTCATACCGAACCATTTTGATCATGAAGTTGCCGAGCCAAGCTCTGCGTCTCTGTCGTCATACATGTGAGGAAGATATGAGTACGAAGTAGTTACTGGAGGAGAGAGGCAGTGAGTTTCTTTTCTTAAGTGACTACCATATCCACTCCGATGGTAGAGCAATTATTTACTGAACATATCTATATGAAATATTTTACTGCCTTTTCTTACAAATTTGCAGTAGATTTTCAACGTTATGAACCCATTCCCATGACTACCGCGTTGGGATTTTCGCACGGTCAAGAACTATCAAGTCGGCAACAACTTATTTTGAGATCGGATGTGAGAAAGTCTTCATCATGTCAACACCAATAGCACATATAAATCTCCTAATTAAAAATAGAACTAACGAATCCGAGTAAGAGTACTTTTGACAACCCTCTAACGTTGTCTTAAGCCTGAGACGTCGAGCAAGTTGACTACGGCGATGTTACGAGATCTTGACCCAACAAGTGGATATTATGGTACAAGACTGGATCACCTGTGTTGCAACGAATTTTACGTATTGTGTAAGAGTCGAAGATCCGACTTGTATGAGCTGTAATGGTTTGAGTGCGTATCTCTGCTTCAATATTCAATAGGTTTGCGTCCCAACTATCCTATGATCGACAAAATCGCTCTGCTTTTAGATAAGTCGCCACTGTGTGGCGGCACTGCGAATCATAAATTTGCAACGCGTGCACTTTGTCACACATTGTATTGAAATAAAAGCTAGACAAAAAATTTATGAGCCTCTTCATTTCAATGATATGTAAACAGAAAAGTTAATACGGCGCACAAGCGTTTCGCACTCGCAACTAGTCGATTTCAGAGTTTACTCTGAGATTTCGTCGCATTACTATACGACTGCAAACACAATATTTGAACACAAAAGACTGGAAATCAAGCAAAACGAACATAAAAAGAGAAAATAAATTTGGTCAGTACAAAAGAACGGTAACGGGTTCGTGGCGAGAGATAAGCGCAAGAGCGCGTTTGGGCGCCGTGCGACGGGGCGTATGAGGTACATACGCGCATGAGTATAACATACAATCATATTTTTCATGAACTTGAACCGCAATGGATTTGATCACGTGCAGGTGCGCTAACGTAAGGCGTCCTCAGCCTGTCCGTCCGAAATATTAAAAGCTATGCGCCAACTAATTTGATTGTTTTATTTGCACACGTTGTTTTTTTGTCGCTTTTATTTCATAAACGAGCAGTTATGTGCAAAAAAAAACAACAACAAAAATTGTTGGCAATTTTCAGCGCCAACGCAGAGCGATAAGCGCATTTAAAAGCGCTGTGACCAAAATATTTATATATTTATATCGCTCATGTGACATTAAGTGATTTACAGACAATTGTAAAATTGTGGAATTTCGCTACTATTTGTGTGTGTGTGTGTGTGTGTGTGTGTTGGTCAGTCGTCGCTGAGCCGCTGGACTTGGCGCCAGTTATTTACAATCAGTTTGGGGAAATACGACTTTCAAGGATTTCTTCGTATAATTTGTGGTTTATGACAATGTCTGGAAGTCTAAAAAATTTTTAATTGAAAAGTATTTCACAAGAATCAGCGGGAGAGAGTAAATATGTGATAATTAAACTTGCTTTGCTTATACTTTGACGATTTATGCTTATGCTTAGCCTACTATCGCTATTTTTTTAAGTCCAATAGTTAGATTTATGACGCCATAGGCCAAAAGAAAGAGCAACCGACACGCCCACTCATTAAAACGATTAAACATTGAGTAGCTAACGGTATGGAACAAAGCTCAAAGAGACACAGAGAGAGAAAGAGAGAGAGAGAGAGATTTTGCGCATATTGTTAAGGGGTTCTGCAAGTCAGAAAAAACGAATTTTTCGTGAATTTGTTTTGAAGCAGTTCTTTAATTAAAAAAATAAATAAGAAAAACAAGTAAGGAAGGGCTAAGTTCGAGTGTAACCGACTTGCAAAGATCAACGGGGAATACCTTTTGAGCAAAAATTCATATTACAAAATGTTGCGAAAGAATTCAACATTCATTATTCGACAAAATTTATATTACAGAGACTAAGTTTAATACATTGAGTTGATATGCAAAACACTAACCAGAAGATCGAAATTGATAATATTGGGGATATGAAATTAAAACCAAGAAACAGAAGAACTCTATTCATTTCAGCGCTAAACCATTAATATAATAAGATTAGTTTGAATAACGCTATTATATGTAGTACAATATAATTTCACATATATTTTTGACATTAAACTAAAGTATATCCAACATTATACGTTCATTTTGCTAAGATATCTGACCGAATATATACCGAATTAGGCTAACCGGAAGTTTGAAAATCTTACATTTGGTATATGAGAGAAAGCGGTAGTATTAACTCGATTTTATCTATTTTTGGCGTTACAGACATGTTAACAGAAACAAATGCGTTTCATTAAGGCACTTCACATACCATCAAAAATGTATGAGGAGCAAAGTCAACCGGATGTTTGAAAAATCTGATATTAGTTATATGGCGGCTAGGGCAAGTTTTCACTCTATTTTATCTATTCTAGGCACCGTTGGGAGAAAAACACACTCAGCTCACTCAATTTAATTAAGACAATTCACATATTTGCCGATATTCGGGGCGGTGTCACGCCCAACGTCTAATTTTAATACCTCTTCCTGATCCCTTTTGCTATGCTAGGTGTAAAATTTAATGTCTCTGACGCGTTTAGTAAATGAATTATCGCACTTTTAGTAGTTTATAACGGTTTTATATGGGGAGTGGGCGTGGTTATCATCCGATTTCACGCTGTCACAAGTGGTGTAAAAATTATTTGTTCTGATGCAAATTTGGCTAATATAGCTTGAATGGTTTGGGAGATAACTATATACATTCAAACTATTAAGAGGCGGGGCCATGCCTACTATTTAAAATTTTTCAAACTGCAGGTGTCCCTCGTTCTTGCGATGCGTTCTACCAAATTACAGTTTTATGTCTTAATTTAGTGCTTAGTAATGGCAATTTACAGGTTTTCGATTATTGCCATTTTTTGGGCGTATCAGATTACGCATATATACGAAATCGTTCTTTTTTTTTTTAAGAAACATATGTATCAAATTGGATTACGATATTTCAACTGTCTGACCATTTATACTATAAACATAACCCTATAACTAATTCGATTATTTTTAGGTGATACAAACAACAGTTAGTAACATGTTGCAAGCATATAATAATGTACATTAACAGAATTTAATGCACCTTAATAGTTCCTAGCTCCATTTTCCAGTTTACCACGAAAATTGTAACACCCAGCAAGAAACGTCGCACAACGCATAAAGTATATGTAAATACTTATGTATACAAAATGAGCAGCAAAAAATTAAAGCGATCGTATAATTTGTCTTCGAGTTGCAACTGCAGCCAATTTGAAAAATTTAGTTTTAGAAAACCACGGTTGAAGACAAACAAATTAAGCTAATTGAACTGAGCGTTTGCAGTTTAGAAGATTGCAATTCGAAAGTTCTTTGCTAATTTCATTTAAATTTTTTGTATTTTATTTCTGAAGCTATAGACTATGCAAAAACAAAACAACAACATTTTTCTCGCAAATTTTCGCTAGGTGTGCCCTTTAATCCGCTAACCCCATACGAACTCGCAACTCATGAACCATACAATAATCCCTAGATTAAATATTAATTTGTAAAACATCCTGTATATTTACATATGTATATGTACATGTATATACATATTTAGTTAATATATGTATA